TGTTGATTTTATTTGTTCGATGTCTACAATTGTTTCGACTTGTTCATTTTATCTATTGATTGCTTCTTGAATTTTCCTGTTATTTCCTTGATCTTCTTACATACACCAAATGTGTCGTGCTTTGAATGTGCTATTTAAATGTATCTGCACTTGTCTTTGAGTTGGTGTCCTTTTGCTTCTCTGATGTCTCTCTAAATATCTGTTCGTGTCATTATTTATTTTGGTCTTCCTTCTCTCTTCCATCAATTTCAATATCTCTTCAGTCATCCAGAGTTTCCTCTTGTGTATATTTGCTATTAGTATTTCTTTCGTTATGGTTTTTGTGACTGTGACTATTTTTTCTAATTTTTCCTCGACCTCTGCGCTGTTTTTTACATCCCGTACGGCGTTACTTATTATGTTCATGGCCTGAGTTCTTACCTCTGGTTCAGAGATCTTTTTTCGGTTGTGCTTTCTTTTGCTTTCAGTTTCTTCGATTGTACCCTAAATTCTCCTACCAATAAATTGTGATCAGAGTCTATGTCCGCTCCCGGATAAGTTTTGGCCATCTTACAGCTGTTTATATATCTTTGATTAACCATTATGTAGTCGGTTAGGTTTCGTATCATTGTACCATCTTTCCCATCTTTTGGGGATTTCCTTCGCTCGATAGCCTTCATCAACCATGTTCCCGCTCCGTAGAGCAGTGTCAGGGATATCAATGTTTGTAGGCTTTTTGCTGTTCGTCTGGTAATTTCAGTGAACAACCACCCCATTTGAAATTAGTGTAGACGTACAGGTAGACCCAAGTAGACGTGCAAGTAACCACTTGAGATTGGCCCATATGTTACTAAGAGCTCTGTCCAATCATCACTCTGGTCTTCGAGTAGTTGATGTTCAAACCAAGGTTGCTGCTTTCTAATTCCAGTTTACGCAATGATGAACGGTATCATCTGCATTCCATCTTCGTTGAAGAATCCATTCTTCCATCACGATTCATGATATATTCTCCACGTATAGAATGGTGAGAGGATGGCACCCCTGTCGGACTCATTATCCAGTTCTGCAGGTAGTTATCGATTCTTACAGCTGCCTTACTGTTCACGTATAGATGATGATAGCGAACAATCCACTAGCGTCAATTCGAAGAAATACGCCCCATCTAATCATAGCTATTAAGGTGAACGGATGCCCAATAAAGTGAACGTGATACATGTGTCAATAATTGTACGCGTTCGCCATCTAACGTAGTCGCTCGTAAAGAAACATTCCTGCCGCGTATAGATCGCAATAAAGTGCTTTCCTGCCAGTGTGGGTTTTGCAGGATTATCCCATTGTTGCCTCGTCGGGCCGAAAGTAGCAGAAACTGGGACAGAGCGCAACCAAGTGCAATTTGGAGCGGGAATGGCTGTCGAAAGAAGCAACTAGTAAAAAGTGTTATGCCGGAATTACACTAGGCATTTTCCCCGCGTTATAGACCAATAATCGAAGGTCACCAGATATGGGTGTAAAGCGTGGAATCGGACTGTGATCGATAAATCGTACGAATTATTGCGGACTTAGAAGCGGAAGAAGTTATTTGTTGTTTGCTAACCGTGCAAGGACGGTGTTGGCAGCGATTCTCGGCGTAAGGTGCAAGAAAATAGCAAGTTTATAAAAAAAATTATCGCTTTTTTGGAGGCATAACCGAAGAATTTGGCTGCTCTAGTCAAAATCAACTCCCCCAAAATGACTAGTTTTTGATGAAATAAGTATTAAACTTCGGCCTGAATAACGGAAAAGCAAAATCCTGAAACAATTCCTCAACATTCCCTGAGGATGCGTCCAAATCGAAACGTTTTACCATTTATAGATTGCGCCTTACCCTACGAAATGTATCTAAAGATTACCTTATTTTTCTAGTTCCTGAGTTTCTCCTTGCAAACAAATAAATGTTAAAACTGTTTCCTGTGCAAAATTTAGACAAGAGCGACTCTCTATTACTTCACTAGGTCCAGATATAAAAAATGCCAAGCTCCGGTCTGCAAAATCTCGTAAACCAAACACAATTTTGGTAAATTGTCAAACATTTTTTGAACCTGATTACAGGTTGAAACTTTGTTCACTGGGAAATATGCCCTACAAAATACATCCTCAATTGACCTTCTCAAACCGCAAGTTACAGACGAATTAAATATTAAACTCTGATCTGAAGAAACCACCAGGGAAATCACATCGCCACCAACGCAAAACGACAGTATAATGTTTACAATTTTTTTTTTTATAGTGACCCTTTATACTAATGACTAATAAGGCTTTTCCTGGGGGGTATTTTGTTAATGTGCAACTTCGGTTGTAGCTTTTCTCGGTTCAGACAACATTAATTAAAGTTTGGATCAGAGTTATAAGTAGATAACTGTTGACTCCAAGTGGGGATCATGGATTGAGCAATAGCTTGTTGAGACACGTTTGATCCTTGAAGGAAGCTGACATATTTATATTTACAAGTTCTTCTAATCAATTATATATATTTCGTGTTGAATTGGTTACTCAATTACGTTTTCTAACATTTGACCACCTGACAAATTGCCAATAAATAAACATTGATTTACCTGTTGTAAGCGTTACTATTATTTTCAGTCTTCCCGGTCTCCTTTATCAGTCCACTCCTGAATGTTTCCATATCCTGTCCTCTGCTTTCTGGTACCATCTGTTGTTCCCTTTACCTTTTGATGTCACCAAGCCATCTTTTCTATGTGGTCATCCATTCTCACTTCATTTAGCTTGGTCTTGCTTGGCTACATGTTCTACCCATTGCCACATCTTCATTTCTCTTCTGGTCTCTGTGACTAATACAGAGCACCGCCCGTTCCATCGCTCTTAACTGATTTGCCGCTGTTTCTAGGCCATATGTTGCTACTGGCAGTACACAGGTATCAAAACCATGCCCAGGTTAGTCTGATCCTTCGTTTGATCTATGCTGTCTGGTTCTCTTTACCCACTTTTATTGTATCTCCAAAATATGACTACGTTTCTATTATTCTCCATTCTTTTGGCCTTTGCGATTATCCTTTCAAGCAGATCTTTGTTGAATCATCATTAAGTTGTTTTAACATGTTCTTCAATTCCTGAACGTTGCTGCTTATTAGGACGATGTCGTCGGCAAATCGGAGGTCATTCAGGTAGCATCCGTCAATATTAATGTTTTTCGTATCCCCTTGTAATGTTGCATCGCCCTGTCCTACTCCTATTGACTATGATACTGTCTGTTAAGTGGCATTTTCGTATCCATATTCTAATATGTTCGTGTACATCCATATTATCATCTATTCTGGTGTCGTCCATTGAAGATTTATGTTTCAATAGTCGATCCCTTGGTCAAAGTCTATAAATGCCAAGTGAAGAGGTTCGTTGGCGGGTAAGTGATATACAGGGTGATTCAAAATTGGCGTCATTCCTTTTAAGGGGTGATAGGAGGCTCCCTTGGGGAGTACGAGAAAAATATTGAAATTTTTTTTTCGAAAATTTCTAGAAGACATTAACAGTTGAAGATCGAATTTCAACTTTGTTATTAAGCATTATTTTGAAATGGTTCCATGTTTAATTGGCATATTGGAATATTTAAGCATTCAAAAAGAAAAATTAGGATCTTTGCTTCCAATTACGAAAATTTTTGATATCAAAAAAGTTCTCTTCTACAATTTTTTGATGAAAAGGCACAGCGGCAATGATGTTTTTTGTTATTAACAGATAGTTACTGGTGGATAGCCCTTGTCATTCATAACAATAATTTGTCAAACTGTGACTTACTTTGAATTTGCTTTCTCGAATTTGCGGATATGCGATTAGTTTAGGGGAAATGCTACATAAAGATAGCAGAAACTGAAAGAACTCAAGCCAACAAAGGGCGAGGAGAGTGGTTGCAGGAAGATAGTGGACTATAGATGTTCGGGTTCCAAGCACAGAGGAACACGTATTGGACATAACCAAGCACCAAATAAAGACCGAGGAAGGGATACATTCCTACCACGTTTGTACGATACACACAGCACAAGGAGATACAAATGAAGCAGGAATTAATTAACTGAATACGAGAAGCTGCTTGATAAGAGTGGATAATAAGGAGATTACACATGCACTAGCTTGTTTGGAGTTAACCTTTCAAATGTTTGGTGTTGTAGGGTTTATTTATAAACACGCATATTCGACGTTATGAGAACAGGTTGACATTTCGTCAACAGATCTTGTTGAATTTACAGTTTATCATTGTCTATCTTATTGTCAGTCTGTATGATTCCATAGTTACCGGAGTTTGAAATAAGTACGAAGCCACAGGTATTTGCGCAATGTTAATTAGGCAGATTACCTTAAAAAACATTGCTGCCGTATTTCTGATATAGTTTTTTGCAAATTTCTCAGTTTTTAATAACAATTAATTTATTTTATTATTTTTTCTGTACTCCTATAACAGCGCCAGACAACACCTCCAGAGGAATGAGGCCAATTTTGAATCACCCTGTATAGTGTTGAATCCCTTGCAAAATCCCGCTGACGGATATGCGTCCAGTTTTTTTGTAGGTCTATTGGTTACTATCCAGGTAAGCAGTTTGAATAGAGTATCCTCTTTTTTGAAAATATCATTTTTTTATTTAATTGTTAAATCACAAGAGGTGTTCGAAGTTCTGCCCGTTTAACTCCAAATGTGTTTGTGCCCGTGTTCACCACGTTATAGTGCACTCTTCTCGAGCAGCTTCTCGTATTCGTCTAATTAAGTCGTGCTCAATCTGTACCAGTGATCGGTAGACCAGCGATTTAATGTGTCTGTAGCGCTTCCTGGATAATTTCCCGGTGCATAGTTGCCTGGGAAAGTGTCAGTCGTTGCACAGTTCTCCTAATACTCCTGGAAGACTGCTGCAATTATCTCCAATACCTGTTCCTCTATGTCTGGAACTCGAACACCTCTTGGTCGTCCACTAACTGCCTCTGTGCTACACTGTATATATATAAGCTAACGCCCTGTACATGGGAGTGCCAATCTGGCAACATGCCCCATCAGTCAAGAACATTTTTGTCTCCGCCGGGGATGGTCAGCGGGGAGGAAATCCCCGAACACTCCGTTCTCTCCTGAATCTGAAGAATACGGCCCCAGGAAGTAGTCCATGGCAAATAAGTGTCCAGAATGGTAAATATTGCACCAAAATAAAGGCAAATCGGCAACATTGGCGCGAACTGCCTACCATGACTACAGACCGCAGAATTAGCGCTTATCGTCGCCCGTTGTCATCAGTAGCGTCACGTTCGTGCAATAGTTAAAACATGGCGTCGGCAGGCACGCAGCAACCAGCGATCGGATCGTCGCAACCGACAGACCAAAAAGGCATTCCGAAATCGAAACGGAAACTTCAAAAACATCTGCGCAGTGCCGGATTGGCGTACGTGTCGAGAACTGGCAAGCTGATACCCGCCAAAAAAGTGTCAGGTAGGTTATGAAATGGGAAAAACGGAACAGTGCGAAAAATTCCAGTTTAGTGCCCTAGCAACCGAACGTCGTCACTCATCCGCGCGCGTGTGACTCACAGCGACCGATCGCAATGTGCCCATTTTTCGCCACGTAGGCCCATCGAAATCGCCCTTTTTCGCCTAAAAACACCTTAATTCAACCAAAACAAAACAACGAATGCTAACCTCACTTCGTGGTAGTAGTGCAGTTGCAGATGACAGTCGTGCCATGAATTTTTCCAAGGAAAAATAACGCGAACGACCTTAATATCTAGGTCACACGGTCGCAACGGCCTTGTAACGCGCTCGCACGGCACGTGGAAAACAGGTTTCTGTGGCGTTTTAACGCCGTTTTTCCGATGGAAAACGATGGAAACTGGTTGATAATTATTGCGATGGGCAAACGAGCAGCGTACACTTGCAGGCGGTTTTTTCCTTTTGTTTGTGGAGGCCGATTGTCTTGCGGGCGCGCGTGGCCTATTGTCAGGTTACGTCAGCTGATCGGGAGGGCAAATACAAAGTAGCACATCATCTTCGCTGGCATTTATTTTCCATTACTATTTGCTTGCAACTCTCAATTATCCCTCGTATTTGCGTTATTAGCAACTTGTCTGAGCTGTTACTATGACAACGCCTGGTCAAGCCCAGCGCGAGAGACAGTGACAGCTAACTACCCCGACCATCTTGGCCACTACGGGGGTTGGCCCAATAGTGTCAACAAAGTATTTTCCTACGATTTATCTGTAATTGATGAATTGGGATGTTGTCGAGGTGACAAGATGGTCGGGTTATGCAGCCAAAGGCCACCGTGTACACATAGATAAGGCAGCGGGAATCGAGAGAGCCATTACAAAAATATGAAAGCCGAAAAATCAAGGCCTTGTTCGAATCCGTGATGACTGTTGGTTGTTCGGTCAGGCAATAATTGTTTCGCCGTCGATTCTCGTCGGTGTTTTTTTCTGATGATGGGGCCAAAGGCGAGTTCTCGACGGCGCAAAATCGGCCACGACGGCTCAAGGCGATTATTTTGAAATAGCTTATGCGCCTCGGTGAGACTGGCGACGCACTTAGCTTGTTGGGTTATTGCAAAGGCCATTTTCGCACGAGCAATTTTATGCCCAAATCCTTGAAGCGTGCACTTTTCGTTTATTCTGTTCTTCAACCATCCTAGATCTAATCCAGCCAAAACTTGCCGTCGCACTACAAAGCTCCTGGCTCCAAGATGCGATTTTTGCACTTTGCACTTTAACGTATCCGAAAGGCAACAGGCCACGATAACTCCCTAACATTAGAAAAGGCGATAATATAAAAACAAATGACGGTGCGCCTCGTGACGTAAGCCCATATAGTGGTTTGAGGGCCGATCTGCTCGTGTGGAATTTTTGTTTTTATCGGACCAAAGTACGCAGTTAGTTAGTTGTTCACTTGTTTTATTAAATTTTATTACGTGGCCGACGCCGCTTTATCTCGATTCTTTCCATTTTTTCGCTCATAAGGCGTATTGCATTTGATAGACACTAATAGGATTCGTCGATGTCTTTGTGCAATTACGACGCATTTCTCACTGGTTACATCTCTTTCCTGGAGACAAAACCGCATAATAGAATCCCCAACTAATATATACATGGTGAACTATATAAGTAATGGGCAAAGAAACTGGGTGAAATCGCCATCTCGGTTGCAATGTTTTAATAGTTTTGTGGCGACATTCAATTTAATCAGCGGCAATAAAATCTTAAGTGCTTCAGTGTTTTATACATATTAGGCAATATACAGGGTGGCCCACAGTGACCGTATAGAAGACCTAAAAATGAAGCGAGAACTTCACATACAGGGTGATTCAAAATTGGCGTCATTCCTTTTAAGGGGTGATGGAGGCTCACTTGAGAAATACGAGAAAAATATTGAAAAAATTTTTTCCCGAAAATTTCTAGAAGATATTAACAGTTGAAGATCGAATTTCAACTTTGTTATTAATCATTATTTAGAAATTGTTCCATGTTTAATTGGTAGCATATTGGAATATTTAAGCATTCAAAAAGAAAAATTACGATCTTTGCTTCAAATTACGAAAATTTTTGATATTGAAAAAGTTCTCTTCTACAATTTTTTGACGAAAAGTCAAAGCGGCAATGATGTTTTCTGGCATTAACAGATAGGTACAGGTGGACAGACCCCATCAATAATAACAATAATTTGTCAAACTGTGACTTACTTTGAATGCCCTTTCACGAATTTGCGGATACGCAATTAGTTCAGGGGAAATTCTACAGTAACATAGCAGAAGCTGAAAGAACTCACGCCAACAAAGGACGAGGAGAGTGGTTCGACAATCGATGTTCGGGTTCCAGGCACAGACAGCTCGTCGTTTTTAAAAAGAAATTTTCCCAAATGCTATTATTATACCGGTATGCTCACAATTAACTTCAGTACAAATCTAATGTGTCATCTAATCACAATCAGTGTGACCAAATAAACACACCATTTTTTGCTTCAAAACAGATTATCTAAGTTTTTCTTAAAATAAAACTTTTGRCAATWATAAAATTATTAYTTTTAATARTGGTAGCCTGGGCCTGGCCACCCCGATCTCCCGACCTTAACCCKTTGGATTTTTTGCTWTTGAGCACCTCAAGACACTRATATACTCGAATTATAAATTGCGACGTAAAAATTCAATATAAATATAAATAAAATATWTTGTTGCAGAAGTATTTAGTGAAATTATAACTTTTGTTTTAAAATAAAAATAACTTGGATAATWAAATGACTTGGATGTTCTTGGAACCTGATGGSAWGTTSTSAGTGTATTTATGCAACCKCCAATCCCCACGAGTACTAATTTCTAGTYGGTTTAATTTTTGTGACAAGTTTCATAACCGCACTAAATACACATTCTACCAAATAGGTGATCGGAAAATCAAWCAAAAGATTCTGTGCAATAACCAATAATGCTGGATATAAAATTGGAATMTGTTTTTGTATGCCGAAATTGTCGTAGCCTTGTTTAAACAATTGTAGCTAATTCAATAAGTTGCCCCTGTATTAGTGGGTATTCATCTGAATTTGTGCTCTGAGTTCGACTACTTGCAAAAGAGTTCTATTCTATAATTTTATATTAAATCTTGCGCGGACCTCTTGACGTTGTCCACATGGATTTTACTTCCAAGGGCCCCCTTGGGGCCTGTTGGGGTCACTTGGGGAACCACCACACAGCKCCATTTTTTWAAATTTTYCAATCGCCATTTTAAATTTCCAATTAAAAACGAGGAGTACTTTTGTCACAAACATTTTMCAAACYCCAAATAAACAGGTAACAATTAGGAAAAACCGCACTTTTCAAATTGCCTTTTCGAAGGACCATAATTCCATAARGGCGTCAGAACGGAAAAAAATATGCACCTGCTGGCCTTATTTTCYTGTGTACACAATTGCTGATTTGTTGCATAGATTTGCATTAGCGGATCATGGCTATAGCGTAGGCGATTTCTAATTCATCTATTTCTCGATAGCAGGTTTTTCCCTCTTTGGTTCTTTCGTCTTCTTTGAGCACGCAGTTTTTATTTTGCGAATGACGATTATTATACACGTTTGTCTTACCAATTGCGTCGTATAACATTTTTGAAAAAGTTACTAGAACTTCAAAAGAAAAAAAAGCGGAAAACCCGAAATAGTCCATTGTACTCTCTCTCTCTACTAGAATAATTGTTTGCCAAAATCGGACTTACAAATAAGTTCTAATAAAAATTTGCGTGTTTTGCAGGGATTTAAAAGGTTTTATAACTCTTACTGCACTTTTACTTCATTCATTGGCTCTTGCTAAATCAAAATAAAAACAATACATTTTTTTCGTACAAATCGACAGATTTTTTAGATAAATAATTTTGGCATTTTTTGCACCACTTGAAACATTTTTGCCCAACTGGGTATACATTTGAAAACGATTTTCTTGACTGGTTACTCAGCCATAGTGGTAAAAGTACAGGTTTTGGCTACATCGGTCAGACGCACTCCCAGAACCGGTTTCGAACCTTTTAGTCCTCATCAGGTGGTCTTAGCTTTCAAATGACATATTCAAAAATCCGTAAGTTAAATGGGGCATTAACTGATGAGGACTAATCGACTCGAAACCGGTCCTGGGGGTGCCATTTCATTTACGTTGTGGAACCGGCTGCAACCACCCGATTTCTCGCAACTTTCGGACGACGAATTAAAATGTTGATGAAGCGAAAAAAGGTCACAAATTCAATTAACGCTGATTTCCTGATCATCTTTGAAATGGAAAAACAAATGGACCTGCCTAAAATTCAGGTGTTAGGAAACGAATGCTTATATGACAAACGCCCTAATTAAAAGTTACTTATCGCTTCTTAAAAGCGAGCATTTAAAAATGAATTAGTTTGTATATACAGGGTGGTGCACTTTGTCTAGTGTAGTCATCGCTCTGATTTGATTGGTCGAAATTGTAATAATTCATTCACATGTCAATGTCAGACATTATTTTCCTTATCTGTGTCAGTTGAAGGAAAACAAATTGAGGCCAGCCAACTCGAAAAATTCGTGCCAAATCGGCCAAATCTGATTCACTTATTGTCATTATGATCGGCATAGCGATTGCTTATTTATAATAATATTTTGTATTTCAAAAGGTACGACAATCACTTTTCGTATGGCGACCACGTACCACATTGTAAATACGCTCGAACTACTTTAACACAAACATTGACATTGTATACACAAGCAATAAACCAAATATTAGACGAGTGAAAAAAATTGACCTCAGCAGTGGTTATCCTACATACACTCACTTCGTATTTCTCTCAGTAGAGACATTATTGTGGCCTTTACGAGGATTTTGATTTAAGAAATTTTCCGATTTTGCACAAAGTGACCGCAAATTTTAAGCTTAGCGAATCACTTGCAAACAGAGAACCGCCGACTTAACGACTCAACTTTAAAACTATTAGATCTAGAGGGAAT